AGCTTCTTCTATCTATCTATCTATTATCTATCTATCAATATCAAAATAGATAACATATAATATCTATTCTATCTCTCTGTCAATATACTATCTGTCTATCTATCTATCTAGTCATTTTTGCTACACTGCTTAATTTTGCTTCTTTATTTCTTTATTCATGCTTTGAATTAATTAATTAGCAATGCCATGTATTTGTTCTCATATCTCAGAACAGTAATCCTGTAGGTTGGAAAGCATCATGATGCATTTGCTCCCTCTAGTGGTCATATTGTAGATCTTAAAGTTACCATTTATACTAATAAAGTGAAAGGACATCATGATTTATGAAGGTTTTTATTAGCTATACTAGCATATCACAAAGTAATTTACCTATATTAAGGATCTTAAAACAGTCTAATTACCACTTGGTAAGATATATACAAGTGAATATCAATATTTTACTTACACTGTTATTATATGATTATTAGTTATTATTGTCACAAATGATGTTTTTACCAGCTGTTGTTCCCTCATCATTCTTGGACCTACTCTATTTTCCTCTCTTATGATCTTTTTCAGGTGAAGTGGAACCAGAGCTGCTTCACACCTACAGCCGTATTGACCCGTATGACACTTTGATTTTGTGCGTGCGTGTGGCTGTGCTCACTGCTGTCACACTCACTGTGCCCATTGTGCTCTTTCCCGTAAGTACATTTTTAGAAAAGTAAGTTTACACATTGGCTCACTTCTTTTCTTCATGCGTTGGCTCTACATTGTTACATTAAAACTGGCCTTTATTGTTATGATCAGGTGCGGAGAGCGATCCAGCAGATGATGTTTCCCAACAAGACCTTTAACTGGCCCCGTCACATCGCCATTGCCATCATCCTGCTCACTTTCATCAACCTGCTGGTCATCTTTGCCCCCAACATCCTGGGCATCTTTGGGATCATTGGTAGGTTAGGCCAACCCTGGTTTTGATGCATAAAACACCAACATTTAGACTGACTCAAGGCACCATGACAAATCCTGAGTAGCTTTTATTTGAATTATGAACACTTACATTTGTATATTCAGTTATTATTATATTATTACATAATTAAAACAAGTTATTGTATTTTTTTTGGATGGTCCAGACTGAGCCTAGGTTTTTAATGTAGTGAGTCACACTTTCTACCTCAAAATGCAGAGTACTTCCAATTTTGTGACATGCAAATACACTTTAAGTTAACACATTACATTTTCCGTTAAAGACCACTGAATATGAATCAAAGAAAGATATATAAGAAAAGATAGAGAAATAGACAAACCTAAGATTTTGAGAGCAGCAATTACATATTTGTAGAGAGAATTTTTGTAGGGTGATAAGAACTGAGCAGTACTTTTTCAGATTAATCCAGGAGTCCAACAGGCTCATTCACACTTCAAATATTAAATTCAGAAGCCTCATATAATCAATATTCATTTGGTGGTTGGACAAGATAAATATAAACTAATTATTTTCCCCCATTTCCTTATTTCCATACCAACTACAGTGCCGTCAGACTGGCGGGAGCACTTAATGAGAACTGAAGACAGTCAGAATTCAATGAGTATTAGTTTCATGAATAATTTTGTGTTTTTCGTCTGCTCTCCAGGTGCCACATCTGCCCCTTGTCTCATTTTCATCTTCCCTGCTGTCTTTTACATTCGCATTGTACCCAAAGAAGAGGAGCCACTGCGCTCGGTTCCCAAAATCCTGGTGAGAATCTAATGAGAATAAGAGTTAGTTGCATTTATTTAAGGTCATGTTATGCGAAGTTATATAAAACAGATCTGTCCAAAAATATAATAATATTTGAGAATGTGAACAAAAGTAGGGGACGTAATACTGAACAAAAACAACTATTATATGGAATAATGTAGCATTTTTCTGACCGTTCTTGTATTGTTTTCTCAGTGACCTTTATTTTGAGCTGTCAGGTGTTGATTAGAGTTTATTTTCAGATGTAAAATGTCACACTCTTGGTACTGGTACTCTTGGGTACGAATTTAAAGGGAAACCTACCCCCAGACTGATAAGCAGTGTTTTGCTGCCCTCTGTGGTTGAAATGTTCAGGCCTCTTTCACCTCTGACCACAACTTGCATCACTGATGAGTGTGGTTGTGGTTTGTGGTCAGAAATGTGTTTTGTTGCACCTGTAACCACACCTAACATTGAGGTCATGATATAACTGTAGCAAGGTGAGAAGTTAAGTAAGGGATAATGCCTGACGAGGTGTTCGTTATCAGGAATTAATGGACAATGCAGAGGCCAGAACTCTCCGACATGCAGTGACGGCGTTCACTACCTCAATAATAGGACAAACCTTAGATACGACTTAGCTACGGGACTTTTTTATAGTTCCCTCTGTTCATAGAACCCTTCGGCTCAGCTATGAGCCAGTAAGTTAACCTTATTCCAGCTAGATTCAAAGTCAGAGTAGAGTAGAGTAGATGTCCTACATCAGGAATTAATGGACACCCTGCAGACAATGATATAATTGGAGTTAAACAGGAGCTCAGAAAAAAGGCTTACTCTCGAAGTGACCCTTTTTACCCCCAAATTAGGTTGGTTAAAGTCATACATACGTTCAATGATTTACTAAAAAGTTGCTGTAAATATGATCACACTTTCCGAAAATGATCCAGTTAGTGTTCCTACAATGATCTCATCATCTGTTCTCTGTAATTCAGTCACTCCTTCTCTCTTCTAGGCTGCCTGTTTTGCCGGGATAGGCTTCCTGTTTATGATAATGAGTCTCAGCTTCATCCTTATTGATTGGACATCGGGCAGCAGCAACGCCAGCAGTGGTCACTAGGAACCACCTTTCTTTTTTTTTTCAGGTTTTATATTGTTGATTTAGATCTGTGTTGTAATGTTACTGTTTTTACTTTGAATATAATGTTTGATGTTGAACATGCCCTATCTTTTCCATTAGAGAATATTGGCCACAGAGGAGGAGTCTAGAGTTGAGGATGGTTCTCTGTTTCTCCACAAAAAGCTCTCACTCGTTACATTGTACTCTACATCCTGCCAGTCAGTGACTGCAGATGCAGGCCAGTAGGCTTTCTTGGAAAGTTGATAGTGAATTTACAAAATAGGCCAGGTGCATAAAGATTGATGTTGACATTTGGAGGCTGTGCCTTGTGAGATGGATGTAAAAAGTCACAATACAGAAAGCTGCTGTCTTTATACGCCTGTCCCCATGTTGGTTGTGAGCATCTGCCTCCCCTCTCTGTCCCTGTATTGTCCTAAAATGATCTGCAAACTGCTACTCAGATTATAACACACAATATAAGGCACCTCCCTTTTAAGAAATGTATTGACTGATAGAGAATTCTTTTAAGATTTTTATGTCAATGATGATGATTATTATTATTATTTTAAGTTATTTGAATACCTACATCTTTGCCATTCTGTGCAACTGCAGAGGAAAGTGATAGTAAGCTATTGCACAGAAATAAAGATAAGTTAAAGGAATAGTTTTAACTTTTTCAGGAAACATACACACACTTTGTTGGAGAGTTAGATGAGATTGATCGCCACAGGCAGAAGCTGGTTAGCTTAGCTTAGCATAAAGACTGGAAAATGCTGAACTATTCCTTTTAAGGCGTGTAGCCTCTGACTCCACTAACTTGTGCTGCTGCTGTGTATTTTAAGGTTTGGAGGTGTTAACATTCTCACCTCCGACAGAGCAAAGCCACATACAGTATGTGGTACTGTGTTGAGAGCACATTTATTATAACATTCCTATACAATATTATCTAGATGTATATTTTTTATTATTAGTCATTACTTGTTGAAAACCTCAGAAGATGCAGTACGGACTGATGACATGATCCTCAGCGCTTACCGAGGCGATCAATATCAGAAATGCAGGTTTCAAGTTCGGAGCATTTTTAAATGGTTCTTGCCTGTCCAGACCACTAAATAACAGAGTGCCTATATTGTGCACAGAGTTTTCTTTTCAGTATTACTGTTTGAATGACAGTGACAAATGGTACTGAAGACCTCATCAGTTGGATTGTACAGATCAGAGTGATAAATGAAATGAAAAGAAGAAAGTTACCGCTCAGTGTTCTTAATCATGGAGCGGGGACCTGGAGGATTCGATGTGTTGTTTCTGAACATTTACTGGCAGTAATCAGAGATAACCAAAACATGTATAAAAAAACAAAAAAATCGACAGGGTCACTTAATAAACAGCTTGGTGTCTGTAAATATTTCTGCGTCCAGCACAAACTTGATGCCTAATAAAAATGATAGACATAAAATTATAGTCACTTTAACAATCTTGAAAAGTTGGTGGTTAGCAATAGCACTTTCCTTTGATAAGCACAACTTCCTGTAGCCATTAATAAGTTAAAACACAAGCGAATGATTTGTGAGAAATTCAAATATTTGATAGATGTGATTTAAGGGTTATGATTCTTTGTATAAGTAAATCATTGAGAAACGAATCAATCTAATTTAGATAACGAGAAAATTAACAGTGTATTGATGGTATAATATGGATGTCTTTTCAAACATTACTTGAAATAATGTTAAAGTTAGCTTTCCTGTGAGCCCCTGCGAACATTAGTTTCCTCCTCTGGTCCGTTCTGTGGATAAAAAACACTTTTTAGTTGGATGTACTGTTGGAGGTTTTTAAGTGTCCGTGTTGTTTAAAAAAGAAAACATGGCTCCACTGTATTTTGAACTATAGTATCTATATGCATTTGTGTTGTTAAACCTGGACCTATACTCTGATCAGAAGTATAATTCAAGTATTCGTCTCCTACAATTGATAGATGAACTTCGTATATAATGTTTATTCAGGCGTATCAGTTGGATCTGATTCAGTGATGAAATGCAAGATGCAAAACCTGTTAATGATTAATTTCATGTTTTTTTCTTCTTATATTTGTCTTTGTAGTCAGTGGTATATCATCAGTGGTTTGGTTCATTCCTGACTTTCTTGCTGCTTCTTTGGCAGACAATAACCTACTAACTTGGAGTTGTTAGTGAGCTGGTGTATCCGCCTACATTTCATTGTTTTTAAATGATAATTTCTGTTACACCAGACTACAGTGAGTGATGTATGGGTAAGTTAGTATTGTCGTGTCAATTTGTTACACAAACAAACCTCCCTAATACCTTTTGTTTTTCATTATATCTAGATATATGGTTGTCTTTATGTGTCTGTATGCAGAGGGAATCATCTGAATCAGCCACTGGGGCATAACTTAGTGTTTGGTGTTGTTTATCCAATGCAAGGGTTATATTTATCCCCAACTTCCTGTTCCTAGTTTTGACCTTTATGCATGTACGATAAAGCCATTTGGTAAATTACATAAGTGTCATAAGCAGTTTTTCAACGGTGCACACACACATAACACTTCAAAACCTCACAACATGCAAAAAATACAAAAGTGGCAACGCAGTGAGGGGATACACTGTGTTAGTGGCTGATAGAAGCTGATCTCTGAGGACCTCTATTTAGATCTCAGTGTTGTTAGTCTCCCTCTTTTTGTGATTTATTGAAACGTGTATGATTTGAATAGTAACATTAAATATTGACATCGGCCAGCATTTATAAATAATGTATATAAATGTATACCCTTTATATTCTATATGCATATCTAGTTTGTACAATGTAAATAGCAATTAAAGTTTCAGTCCAATTAAAAATATAAATGTAATCAGTTTCAAAGTGCTTTTAAACCTTTGTCCTTCAATTCATGTCGATTTTCTTGTATCTCTATATATTTTAATATGTTGCTGGCAGTTACTGTACTGTAAACAATGTTGCAATAAAGATAATGAGGTAACAAAAAACTTTGATCTTTTATCGTCTGTTAGATATGACACTGTCCCTTTGTCCTCCACCTCATTAAAGGTTCTTGGAAACAGGAGATTACTGGATTTATAGACTGACTTTTAAGACTTTGTATTTTATAAAAATCTTTTTTTTTTTTATTATGCAAGTGCATAATCTGAATTATAACAGCTTTAAACGGACCACTATGGCTGTGTAAGCTGTAAGCAGTATATAACTGGAATTTTAAATATTTTTCAAAAGTAAAAAGACACTGTGATTATATGTAGTTTATATATTTTAATCTTATAATGTTGCACAATGTTTCACTTCAAAATACACAAGACCTTGTAATACTTATTAATTATTATTATTTTTTTTTTTTTTATTACCTCATAATAAAAGGTATTAATTCCTCTCTTGGGTGTCAGAAGCCAGTCCACAAGGTGGCTCTATAGTGCTGTGGAGCTATGACCACCATGCAATGTAACAATATTATGGTTTTTAAAGACCAGTTACTTGAAGTGTTAATTATCTAGTTTGCATTGGGCTTACTTTAATTCCCAGTTTTGACTTCATGCTGTCATAGTATTTAATATTTATGGTCAAAAGTGGCTGCTATTCTAACAAGTGCTTTAAATATCAATACCCTCAACTATTTGCCTAAACCAATTTGGATTTGCAGTATTTAAAACACAGTGACCACTAATATCATAGTTTTATCCCTCAAATGCTCATTGGAAGCTCCTGAGGTTTAAAATCCTACAGTCAGTGTAATGTTTATGGTCTAAGCAGAGCTTTAATAAAGTCAGGCTACTTTTTATAACCTAAAAGTAATTTTAGAATATAATTCAAATTATACAGTTTGCAGACTTTGTTTATATTTCAGTGTCACATTTAATCATTTACTGTATTCCATCGGATGTAAAATTTTGACTTGTACTATTTTCATTTGATGCTACTTACTTACTACATTTATGAGGGAAATATTGTATTTTTTACCCCATCCTATGTATTTGACAGCTATAGTTACAGATAACTTTAGACTTTAGATCATCTTATAAAATATGAACCATCATAAACAACCCATCAGTACATGAAGTATAAAATATCTCTCAACCAGCTACAGTATTACAATTGTTCTCACATATAATTGCATCAATAATGATATAATCCAATTAAATATCTATATTAACATAAGGGACCATTCTGCTTAGTGAGTACTTCAGGTACATTTTGCAAATATTTTTTTTTACATTTTTACACAGTGGTATTTCTAATTTAAAGATAAAATCTGAATCTTTTTCACCACTGTTGTGTTCTGTTGTTTTCATAATGAATAGTAGTTATATATATTGATGCACTGCTGTTGGTTCTCCATCTTGTTGCTCTCCATCAATGTTGCACATTCCTGTACAGCTCTTAGATCTTTCTATCTTTATTTATATTTAAAAACTCCTTGATTGTGATTCTTATGCACCAAGGCAATATATCCGATTATGAGTCTTATTATCTTTTGGGAGAAGCCTGTGCCATTCCCGGTCAAAAAAAAAAAAAGCTAGTTGAATAAAAGTAACTTCAAGTCAAAATTTGCCAAGGGTATGAATAATTTCGGCCTTGACTGTATATAATGTAGGCTATATAAATGTATGCATACGTAAACGTTACTGGTGGTGTCGCTTATCCAGAAATGTAGGCTATTAAACAAACAAACAAAACAAAATATCTCTTCTCGCCAACTGGGCTGTCACATAAACCTCTACACTGCAGCAATTCGTATGAACTGTGGGCCGGGCTGAGGGCAGGTAGACCATTTCCGCTCGAGTGAATTGTTGACTACATTTCCCATGAAGCACTCGGGAGTGGGCGTTCACGTTCCGACGGAGGCCGCCCCTCGCTGCTTGCTGCTGCTGTTGCTGCTGCTGTGGAGCTGGGAGGTGTCGGCGCTGTCTGTCTGTTTGTCGGACGGAGGGGAACTTCACGGCGGCTACGGGTGTGGCTTCAAACGTGATAAATCTCAACGAGGGGGAAAGAATGCGCAACGCCGATAGGGATTAAAGCAAAAACAAGAAAAGGAAAGAGAAATATCATCTAAAAAGGTGGTTAGTGTGTGTCCAGGTAGCCTTTTTTAAGTGGCGGCAGGAATCCGTGTGCTCGGTTTTTCAACAGCTGGACTACTTTTTTGTGTGTGTGTGTGTGTGCTGCTGAACTTCGTGGCCCGTGTTCGTGAACCTGCTCCGATGGTCTGCTGTGGGAACTAGCGAAAAGAAAGTCAACCAAAAAGTATCTTTCTTTTTTTTTTTTAAGGGGGTCGCTGGACAACTTCTCCACGCTCACAGTTAAGACCACCAATGCTGCCGAACAACTGACTTAAACCAGCAGCAACTCTTTCTTTTTTTTGGGGGGGGGATAAAAAAAAAAACCCCAAGTTCACGTCTCAGAGAGAAATCGTTTGTTTTTGTGATTTTCGTTTCCTCTCTCGCGGATGAACGGACTCCGTCACGTTTGTCGCCGCTTGTCAAAAAGGGAAGTCGTCTCGCTCAACTTCAACCCCTGTTTTTTTAAATAAAAAAAAGGGGTTTTCTGCTCTTTTTTTTTTCCGGGCTCGGCCGTTTTTCCCAGGTGATATTTTCCCCACTAAGCAGCAGTCCTGAAGCGTGCACTAGGAACCATGGGTTGTACAGTTAGTCAGGAAGACAAAGCCGCGGCCGAGAGGTCTAAAATGATTGATAAAAACCTGAGAGAAGATGGAGAGAAGGCGGCGAGAGAAGTGAAACTGCTGCTGCTGGGTAAGTAGTCTGTCACAACGCTGATACTGGGGGGGGGGGGTTGCATTAATGGTTGCAGACGTATTGTGCAACAGCATTGACAGTCTTGACCATTTGTACAGATATGACATACTGGTGTAACAGGCTAAAAACCCCCACAACTAATGCTATGGAAAGTATCATTTCTATCCCTATATGCCTGCTTGTTTTCTAGCTACACCAGAACACTGTGGATTGTTTGGGCTGAGAGAGTTCACCCAGCTCCTGAAGAGACAAACGTGGCAGCAGTAATGCCACCAGAAGTGCAGCACTAACCCTGGCTGTGCACAAAAAAAAAACAAAAAAAACCAAGTAGCATGTCCTTCTTGTCTCCTCTGCCTCTTCATTGTTAGATCTGCTTTGATGTAAACATGTGGGCTTTACTGAGAATGTTTGCGGAAGTTTGCCGTTGAAACAGCACCCTGCAGCTCGTGCCCCAGGCCGGAAAAAGGGATGTGAAGAAAAATGTGTTAAAAGCTAAACCCTGAAAATAGGATAGTCAGAACAGGCAGTCTGAAGTTTGGAGTGGTTTCCTCCCACCAGGGCTGAATTGAGGGG